GGGGGGGGGGATGGCAGCGCTCAGGGAGGAGGGAACAGACAGTCCCTAACACACACACACACACACACACACACACACACACAGGCACCCTGCATACTCTGCATGCAAGAACGTAGACACCCGAGCACATGGCACATGCAGTGCACATGGGGCCACTGCACACACTGACATGGCAGTCCCAGACACCCTCCATGAACAGATTTGAAAGCAGGCCCAGTCAGGGCAGACCCTTCTTTATTGCTTGGGCAGCCTGAGCAACCCCCACTCTGGCCCCTGCCCTGTGACCTTACCAGGGTCAAGAGTGGCAGCTCTAGGTGGCAGCAGGCTGAGGTCCATCTGGCCGAGGTGGATGGCATTGTAGAGGGCAGAGAGCACCACTCTCCAGGTGGCCACCATGGCGCCCACCAGCACGTTGATGGGGAAGAGAAGGAAGGTGGCTGCGTAGAGTGCACAGCTAGGGTGGGGGAGAAGAGAGTCTGAGTCAAGTCCCCCCCCACAGCCGCTTCCTCAGGGTTAGGGGCTAGATGAGGTCAGACCTAAATGACCATAGCTGCTGTGTATTTATTAGTACCTATTATTTATTGAGTACACCTAGTATGCACTCCATCCTGTGTTGGGCCAACTCTCAACCCAGCTGGCCCTCCCTACCTCCCTGGGAGACAGGCCATGTTACTCCATCCTATAGAAGGGAAACTGAGGCCCAAAGAAATTGGGTGACTTAGCTAAAGCTGCCTAGCTAGTCATTGATAGAGCTAGGGTTTAAGTCCATTCCACCTGGATCTTTCTATGACCCCAGACCTCTGGGTCCCTTGTCTACTGACTCTGAGTCTCTTCTGGAGGTCAAGGTCCACTCACAGCCTTGCCATCTAACAGGGAAATAATGTTTCTGTTAACCTTCCTGCAAAGAGGGAGGCACGTGGTGTGGAGGGCACAGAGGATCCAGGGGAGAGCAGTGCTGATCCCCAAAGCAGGAAAGGTTCATGGAGTGACTCTGGCCCCGTGACAGAGGTGTGTGGAGTAGGCTGGGCCACTTCCCCCTTCCTCTGTGGGGCAGGCAAACTCTGTTTACTACCCACTGGGCTCCCTGAGAGAGAAAGGGGAGAGATGGCAGTGGAGGGAGAAGGGCACAGCCAGAGACACCAAAGGAGAAGAGGCTAAGGGCCTGAAAGAGCCATAAGCCCAGGAGCTGCCTCACCGGTTGGTCAGCTCTGGCCATCCATGGTGAGTCTTCAGAAAGACCCAGTGGGCTGCCATGTTCTGCAGTGTCACAGCCAGGGCCAAGGTCAGCCAGAAGGGCCTGCAGGTGGGGTAGGAGGATGTGACTGTTAGTGGCCCTCTGGGAAAGGGTCTCAGAGCCCTCAGCCCCTTGCCTCTCTCACCACAAGGACGCCAACGATTGAAGGAGCAGAAGGTTCCTGCCATGGAGCATGGGCATAAACACCAGGAAGGCCAGGGCCATGGTCCCCAGGAAGAAGATGATCTGCTGCAGCAGGAGTGCTGCCAGGATGAGGAGGGAACAAACATCAGCCTCTGCAGGACCTAGACCACCCGACACTCCCAGGAACCCAAAGGCTTTGGAATCGGGCAAACCTGGTTTCAGATCCCTGCTCTACTGCCTAGCTGTGCCACCTTAAGCAAGTTACTTTGCATCTCTGAGCTTTTTTTCTTCTGTAAAATGAGAATAGTGGCCCCTGCCACACAGAGCTGTTGTGAGGGCCCAATGAGATTATATCTGTGGCAACTCTTTGAAAACCAATAGGTGATTTGTAAATGTTATTTTCCCCCAATTGCTCCTGAGTCCTTGGGGACAAGACTGCATTTTAAATTAATGTTTGCATTCCTATTGGCCAGAGTCCTGAACATGGTAGGTGTTCCACAGTTGTCTAATGAAAGAGCTGGCTAATTGTTTATGTGAGATCATGTGTACAAGAGGACTTGGGCCTTAGCTGGTTTTTCTCAGTGGTTAGAACATCAGCTCATGAACTGAAGGGTCTCAGGTTCAATTCTGGCCGAGGGCATGTACCTCGGTTGCAGGCTCGATCCCCGGCCCCGGTCGGGGCAAGTGCAGGAGGCAACCAATCGATGTGTCTCTCTCACTTCAATGTCTCTCCTTTCTCTCTCTCTCTCTCTCTCTGCCCCCCCACCCCCACCCCTGTCCCTTTCCACTCTCTCTGAAAAGCAATGGAAAAAATATCCTCGGCTGAGGATTGGGGAAAAAAAAAAGGAGGACTTGGGAGGCACAGAGTCTACCAAGATGATCAAGTCTACTCCTTGATCACCCTTCTGCCCTCCTCTTGGGGGTAGGGTGAGAGCTGAAAGAACCAGCAGGGAGAAAACTCTGGCCCTGGCTTCGGCAACACTGACCCAGCCCATTGCGTTTCAGAGGGCTTTATTCACTACAGTGCCCAAGGGAGACTCAGAAAGTTAGGAGCTGGGAGGGTACTGGGAGTTAGTCTAGTCCTACTCCCTCAAGGCAAGACCCTCTTTGCAGTCCCCATGTATGACCATGGAACACTGCTTGCATACCCCTAGTGACATGGATCTCATTACCTTCTGAGACAGCCCATCATGGCATAGCCCTCCCTCATACAAGCACAAATGTGCCTCCTTGAGCTTTCCACCTTCCAGCCCTGGATCCACCCCCTGCGTAAACAACTGGTGATACCCAGGGACCATGCTCATGTTAGGGACATCCTTTCCCCAAGTTCCTGTGTCCCCCAGCCCCACCTGAGTGAGCTTCCTGAGTGCAGGGAAGGCCAGGCAGGTCCTTCTTTTTACTCTTGTCCCAGAACTTGCCCAAACTCAGGCAGACCCCAGGGGCGGTCAGGAACTGCTTAGCACTCTCCCCTTCCTCACTGGGGTCAGTGTCTGGGGCTGGCCAAGGCCCAGTAGGGTGGACTAGAGGTGCTCACCAAGGCAGGTAAAAGCAGTCTGGTAGGCGCTGAAGTTCATCCAACAGAATATGGCCTGGCAAGAGGGGTGGGGGCTCTGAGGTAGGGGGCCAAGGTCCAGGGCAGCCCCTCGGTGTAGAGCTCGCAGGTTGGCCCTGGGATGGGGGTGAAAAGACAGGGATCTCAGGAAGCACATACACTCCCTAAATTCTTCCTCGAGGCCAGCTGCTGGCTGAACTCTCAGTCTAATTACAACTGATGGACAAGGAAGCCCAGGGCCGCAGGAACCCAGTGGAGGCTACTAATCTAGCCTGGGAGGCCAGGGAGGGCTGCCTAAAGGAGGTGAGGTCTGAATAGAGCCTTAAAGGATGAATAAGAGTAAGCTGGTGGGTGGGAATCTAGGGAGACAAGTTCAGGCAGAAGGCTCAACGTGCGCCAGGTCAGAAAAGTGAGAAGCAACAGAAAAGATGGAAAGTGACTCGCAGCTTGGCCTCCAGGGTGGGAGGCAAGGTTCCTCGTCTATGGCCATGGAACCCTGCATACGTACCCCTAGTGACATGGATCTCATTACCTCTTGAGACAACCCATCATGGCATAGCCCTCCTTCACACAAGCAGGAATGTGCCTGAACATAGTCCCTCAAGCAGAAGCTTGAGGACCTTGAATGCCAGCCTAAGTAGGGCTAACCCTGTGAGGAAAGATCCCTGGGCAGGACCTCTGAGGCCTGATGATTGTCCAGGGTATAGGAACTAGTTCTCTGACATTGCTAAGTGCCTGGACCACCCCTCCCACCCAACTAGAACCTTCTATCCCTCTCTGCTTGCATTTCCTCAGTGCTCCTTTTCATTCACCATGAACAGGCAAGCTGAGCAGCCTGACATTCAATGTCCCATAACAATCTCTCCAGTGCCCCAATGCCAGTCAGACCATCTCCTTACCGGCACTCACAAGATTCAGGCTCACCCAGCTACTGTGCCGTTGCTCACAAAGTTCTGCTGCCCTTCCTCCCTCAGCTCCTTCCTCTTCTCCCATTCCCGGGGGCCTCCTCTATCAAATCCAGCCCACCCAGGTGGCCCCCTCTCAGAAGGCAAACTCCACACTCCAGCCCCTACTCAGTCATGCCCTAGATCATTCATAGACAGTTACCCACCCAGACTGAACCACCCACCTTCTCTGCCCAGCACAGAGCAGCTGGGCTCAGTGACAACCTGGGCCTGCGGAGACCCTCCCTCCCTCTGGCCCGAGGGCTTTCCCCACAGGCCCTTCTGAGTCAGGGGTCTTGTAGGCCCATAAGACTGATCTCCTCCCCACATCTACATTGAGGATCAGAGCTCGACACTAACCTGTGTGTCACCAGTGAGCGAATCAGCACGAGGAAGGTGAGTGAGCAGGACAGGACCAAGGCTGAGATGTAGCAAACTAGAGGGTGAAGAGGGAGCAAAGTGGGAGATGAGGCCTGGAGGGTCTCCTGGGAGCCTCCATGTTATTACCGGGGTAAGCCTAGGGGTACCCCTGCCCCACACCCCACAGCGAGCAGAAGCTTTTTGCCATATTCCCTGTTCTCAGACGCAGTATAAGTTTACAACCGCAGCTGGCCTATAGTGCCAGGTGGCATAGGTGGCCGAGATGGGGAGAGGCCACCTCTGAGTCTGCAGACTTGGCCCTCACCCAGGTCTTGCTTCATCCATTCCTATATGACCCGCAGTGAGAGACTCCACCCAACCTAGCATCTGCCTCCAGCTCCACTGCTCCCTGATCGTGTGGCCTTCAGGGGTCATTTCATCTCCCAGCCTCAGCTTGCTCATGCCGGGCTCACTGCTGTGCTGCCCACTCGCAGCATGATGTGAGCCATGAAGCCCCATCCAGCCTGCGTCAGTGGCCTCTGTTCAGTCCATGAGGATATGAGTTCACTTCAGTATGGCCTGAGTCCATCAGAATGAGGGGAGGTGACCACTGCTGCACATCTCTACCCCATCTCCCTGCCCACCCCGGCCATGAGCACAGATCATGAGTTTTCTGTCTCGCCAGCAGCTGGGAGAGAATGCACAGTGCATTGTGAGCAAGCCTGGTATTTAAGCATAGCAGGGATGAAGGCTGCACCGCTTCCACCTCACATCCACATCCAGCCCCACAGGAAAGGCATGGAAGACATGGAACCAAGGAAGAAGCTGAGACTCGGAGAGAGTGTCCGACCCAGCAGCCACGCTCTAGGATGTGATAGAACCAGACATGTAGCCATTTCCAAGCAGACCCAGAAAGAGCCCAGGGTGCCTGCACCATGATCTCCTCAGCCAGCCCTGGGAAGTGTTCCTGGTTCCCACCAAAGCAGAGCTGGCGGGGTGGGGCAGGGTGCAAATGCACATGAAAAAGACAAGCACTAGTTACACATAACTACAGGTGCTGTAGAAGTGGGCTGAGCACTGGCAGCATGTTAGAATCACCTAGAGGTGTTAAAATCCCCTAGCCCAGGCTGCACCCCTAACCAATTAAATCAGAAGTTCTGGGTGTGGGACCCAGGCCTTAGCTTTTCTAAAAACAGCCCTGGTGATTCTGACATGCAGCCAGCATTGAGAACCACTGTACTGGGGGCTTTCAGAAAACAGAGCCTTAAAGGTTTATTTCAATCAGCAATTGATTGAAATCAATCAACCAATTGACCTGTATAGAGTGCCTGCTGCAGTGGTTCTCAAACAAATGAAGGCTCACATCAGAATCACCAGGGCTCCATCCTCAGGGTTTCTGAAGTCAGGCCTGGGGCTTGAGCCTTGGGATTTTTAAAGTTACCAGGTGATTCTTAGGTGAACAGCTGTTTCAGAAACCTGAGCCTCCTTGCCTCTCCTGGGCTCACTCCTCCAGGTGCAGGAGGTGGCACTTTTCTTAAAAGTGAAGCTAGGAGAAAGCTCAGAGCATGCACAGTTTTGCCCTGTTCCATCTGCCCTTCAGGAGCCAGTTCTGCACCAGCAATGGTACATTCAGACTGTTTCTGCCAGGAGGTGAGGAGCCTGCTTGCTGAACCTTCCCAGGGCCCCAGGTCCGGGCTTTGATCTCCATCTACCTCCTGCTCTACCCCTTTTCTATTGCTTCTAAACTTGGGTCCCTCCTAATCCTGATACCCGTAAGATCTTCCTGCGCTTTGCTTCCTCTAGGACACTGCACCTCTGGGACCTGTTTGGTGGATCCATCTGTATTCCCCACCAGATCCAGAGCCTCAAAGACAAGGTTACCTTTGTCACTTCAGCACCATTTTGAAGATAGGGAATTTGAGATCCAGAGAAGTGTCTTACCCAAGTTCATACAGCTAGTAGTGATATTGCAGAAATTCTAATTTAGTCTGCCTGACTCACAGTGTGAACAATGACAGGTTTACTAGCCAGGTACTGAGGAGGTGGGGGTGGCAGCCCTAAAACAAGCTCTCAGAACTCAGATGGCATTAGCTCCTTAGGCTAACAACAGACCAAAGGGTCCAAAGCCCAGATCTTATCTCAATTCCATTCTGGCTTGCTGACTGCTTTGGACATATTTCTAACGCCCCAGGCCTTAGTTTTCCTCATCTGCAAGCTAGGAGAGTAAATACTGCTGTTTGTCCCTGCATCTGAGAAGATCCAAAGTGGAAACCTCTGGGCTTGGAAACTGCAGCATGTGATTATAAACACCAGGTGTACTGAGCCGAAGCAGCATGCTTTGTCCTGGTCATGTCACTTCCTGCCTCTGATCCTTGATTTCCTGCTCTGAGCTATGGCATCAATGATGTTAACCTAACAGGGCTGCTGTGAGGCCTGTGCTTGGATGTGGACTGATGTAAACCATGTCTACTCCTGCCTGTGGCTCAGATTGTAGCCTACTTGGAAAATCTCCTTGGAGATGTCATTTACACCCACCCAGAATTGTCACCTATCTAGCTCATGGGCCTCAGCGGCAATTCCCGGGCAGCCTCCAGTATGGGAGAAGAATCACTCAGGAAATTGATGGGAGTGGTGTCAGGGAAGGAAGCAGCACTGTATGCACCTCTGCCCACCCCCGCCTGCCCCTCCTCTCTCAGCATGCCTGGTCTGTGGATGAGGATACTCATGGTCAGGAACAGCCGCACAGCAGTCACACCTCTACCTGCAATACTTGCAGCCTGAGCTCCAACCATCACCTTACCCCTCAGGAGCCAGGGTACCCATACCAGCCAGGAGCTGCCAAGTCAGCAGGGAGTGCAGGGCCCATGACTCCTGGCCACCAGGCTTTGGTCTCAAGGTGGTGGAGAGAGTCCCAGCAGAGGCATCAGGAGACTGAGTTTTTTTCTTGGTTCCACTTCTGCCTGACTATACAACCTCAGGTGAGTCCTTCCCCACTGGTAAGTGGGGACACTTTTCAGTCCCTTCCACAGGGCTGTTGGGGAGGGTCTGGGAGGTGGGGGAGGCAGGTAACAGAGCTAAAGGATAAAGGAGGCATCTGAAGGGGAGGCTGGTATGGTTCCCCAGCCTGGGGTCACATTGCCAAGGGAGAGAAGGAGAAAAGAGGTGGCCCAGGAGGATAGGGAGTGGGGAGGAGAAAGCATCTGCTCTGCCCAACCCCACCCACCTGCCGTGAGAACGAACTCAAAATTTGGTGCTCCTTCGGTCCCCACAGCTCCACCTCCTCTCTTCTTCCCCACCCTCAGCAAAGGCCCCCGAGGCTATCCCTTCAGCTCACACACACCATGGCCTTCCCCATCTAGGCAAAGCCACTGGGGGTGAGGGTGGGAGACACCACACAAGTTGATGAGGGGTTACTGAGATGACCCCTTCAGGTCTCAGAGATTTGGGACTGGAAGCTCCAAGCCCCCATCCCCCAATTTGGAGATGAGGCTTTTGAGACCCAAAGAGGGGAAGGAATGTGCCCAAGGGCACGCACCTCAGATATCCCACCCAGCTCACATCCCACCCA